TGGGCAGGAACCGGTTCGCCCAACGGTGAGCTTTACCCCAAGATGGGAGAAAATTGCATAAAAATTATCGCGGAAGAAGGGAGTGACAATGGATGGTGTCGAGCAACAGCGCTGTTGTCGGTTGCATAATTGTGACTAATCTGAAGGGGGGGAGGGCAGGAGAGCTGCTGTGCCCCTGTTTTGCGGAGGCCCACCCTGCCGTTTGCTCCTTGGGCTTCCTTTCGGCCCTGTTTCGTCCCAGAAAGGATGCCTGAAGTAGGTGAAGCCGCCCAGCCTCCGATCAGCCGGGCGATGCACCGCAGATGGGTGCCAAAACAAACGTGTGTGTGGTTGTGAAGAGGCCACAACCCTCCTCCCCCCACTCTTATGCTGTGACAGCAAGATGGGAGGGATTGTTTCCCTGTTTGGAAAATACAAGAGAGAGAGAGAGAGGGAGAGAAAGAAGGAACAAGAGGAGTCCTGCCTGGGGCTGCTCCTTCTCCCTAACCCTTAAGCTGATCTTTCCCAAATTCCAAGCAAGAGAAAGAAAATCTGCTTTTAAAGCTGAATTCAGAAGTCACCTTGGGGTCTGCAGGCCTTTCAGCCTCTCCTGCCCTGGGTGGGGGGGAGGGGGGTCCTTTGCAGTGCCAGATTTTGTGGCATTTCCTCCCACGCTCCCCCTTGGTTCCAGGGGGGGGCTGGAGAAGGGGGGGACTGAAAGACACACATCTGGCCTTGTGCAAAAAAAAAACCTTCCCTGCAAACGACGGTCTTGAATGGAGTTGGGGGGGCTACGGGATTGACCTGGGGAGCTGGGGGGGGGCCTCTTGCTCCCCTGCTCCGGGTCTGGATAGCCAGGGGTTGCCCTTCTAAATTTGGGGGGGGGAAGCACCCACAATCATCCCTGGGCCCCAGAAGGCTGCGTGGAGGCCCCCAGCCGAGAAGCCCTTTTCTGGTGCGGATGGGATTGTGCGGTGCAAGGATCCCGTTGGGGGAGAAAAGACGTTTCACATCCATCCCTTCGTCCAAGCTTTTCCTTCCCTGGGGGAGGATAGCCAGCTGCCCACCCTCCTTTCCGGCCCATCCTTTGCGTGGAAGGCAGACGAAGCATTTCTCCGAAAATACAAAACGCCCGAGACTTTTTTGTTTGGGTCCCCCAAGCCCCGGCCTCCTTGCGGATCCTTTTCTGGGGAGGGGGCGTCTTCCAACCAGGGGCCTCTTTTTCCCACAAGTCACACAAGAGGGAGGGAGGGAGGAACCAGAAGAAAATCGGGGGGGTGGGGGGGGATATTACTTTTACAGGAAAGAGAGAGAGTCCAAATTCTGTTTGTTGCACCCCAATCCAGGGACCGGAATCCTCCCTTTCAGGGCTGAAAGACGCCCTCTTGACATGCTCAGAGATGCCCACCCAGATCACTGAGCACGCACGAGGTTTGCCACCCGCTGTGTTCAGCTCCAAGGATCCACTTCCGATCCCCTTCTAATCGGAAGCCCAGAAGAGGCTCCCCAAATCTTACAACCTCCTCTTCGTTGTTCCTCCCCTCCATCTACACACACACACACACACACACACACACACACACACACACACACAGCGGCCCTGCTCCCTGGGGAGGAGCAGCGACTTTTGCGCAGCCCGAGACAGATCGATAAATAAATGGCAAACCTTAATCCACTTTGCCACGGTTCAATTGGCATTCGTGGCACAGTGTGGATTCATATTTCCTGGAGGGGGGACGGGGGGGGGGGGAATGGGGGAGGGGGTGGAGGGGGCGAGGGGGAAGGAGACCAAGGGGGGGGGGGGGGGAGAAAGTGGACGTTGTGAAGTGTCAATTGGGGCTTTGTGAATGCAGCTGCCACCTCTGAAAGTGAAGGCACAGTGCCTCTCAACCTTGGCATCTTAAAGGTGGGTGGACTTCAACTCCCAGAATTCCACGGGTAGCATGCCTGGATTTCATGCCAGCTGGGGTGTTCTGGGAGTTGCAGTCCAGAGTTGTGCTGCCTGCCTGCAGAATTCTGGGAGTTGGAGTCCCCCCATCTTCAAAATGCCAAGGGTGACCAAAAACTGGTTTTCTGTGTTGTGTGAAGCAGCTGCACTTTGGGGGCCATGCATCCTGGAAAGGAGGGGCCCTTGGGGAGGTGTCCGAATCTGAGCCAGGTTTTGGTTTTTTTGGGGGGGGGAGTTCCACCATGGGCAGAACCAGTTCCTCCTCTTGTACTCGAAACTCTCTTCGCCTGCCTCACACCTCTGTCATCACCGGCCGGGAAGTCCTTGGCTGTCGAAACTGCGGGTGGAGGAGAAGAACTCGGGGTGGGCTGAGACACCCCACAAACGGCGACGAGTCTGGGCTTGCGTGTTGATAAGCATTTCCTCCGAGGATTAGTCTGCAAGTCCCAACTTGGGGGTTTGGCAGCTGTCGGAGGGACTGAAAAAGATGTCTAGGAAACTAGGTGTCTTCACCGCTGGGGTACAGAGAGGCAGGCCAGGCTGGGAACCGGGGGGCTGGGGGGGGGAGGCGACCCCCAGCACCTCACCAGCTTGGACTCTTGGGAGCTGAAGTCCGACCCATCTGCAAAGGGGGGGAAGCAGAGTTTGAAGGAGCCCAAGGTAGCCTGTGGGTTTTGGGCCTTCAGTGGCTATTCAGTGGCTATTCTTGAAGACCACCCACCCATGTGCCTGGGCCTGCGGGTGCAACATGGGACGGATTGCAGAATCTGGAACCTGCCCAGCATTTTTTGAATGCGTGTCCCCTCCCTTTATAAATCTCTTTAAAAAAAATAAAATACCGGCCGGGGGGGGGGGGGGGGGGGGGAGGGCTCCAATGGTCCCTGGGCCCCTCCAGCCTCTGTTTTCAACTCCTTGGAAAATTACCAGCAGTTCTAATATTCGCTTCCTTGCAAAATTGCCCCACAGAACTTCTGGGGTGGGGGTGGGGGTGGGAAGGGAGGGGGCTGGTGTTTATCACTCAATTCCCCAGGAAGGTGGGAGAAGGATCCTTTGGGGAGAGGAAGGGAGCCTAACAGTGCCCCCCCTCCCACACACACAGAGACATCCAAACATCCACCCCACAAGGAAAAATATTTGCAGAGCGGAGTAAACAAAAGTTTGCACAAACCAGGATGCAAAAGTGGTCCTTCTGCCCTCCCCCCACCCTCCAATAATTGTGGTCCTTGCTAGGGGAGAGGGGGGGTTTCCCCCACCCTCCCCTTCTCTGCAGGCAGAGAGATGTTGGATGGTGCAAATGCCCCCCACCCCGGCGAGGCGCCCCTCCCTGCAGGAAGCAGCTGTTCCGAGGCCTTTCCCCTTGCACGCTTTTAATTACCCCGCTCGCTAATGGATCCGCTGGCAGCGGCTAATGAGCTCAGGGAAGGGAAGGAGGGGGGGGACAGGGGGCCCCCCGCCCCGCAGGGAGTTTGGTCTCCCCCCTCCGTCCTGTTCGCAATCTTTTCCGCTTAGGGACGGGCGGGCGGCGTTTCTGGGCCATTCGCTTTTCATTTACGGAAAAGGGAAATAAATGGATGAGAAGGGACACACACACACACACACACACACACACATTTTGGCACCGTCCTTCCACAGCCCAAAGTTTTCCTGGAAAATCTCTCTGCTTTTCCCGACTTTCCCCCCTCCTTTTTAGGGGGGGGGGCTTCTGATAGTTTTTAAATATTGTTTTCCCAGGCTTTTCTCTCTTCCTGCCCCCCTCCAGGGATGACACCCTTGGGGCGGCTCCTCGGCCCGCGGTGGGTCTCCCCCGCGGGGCTGGTTGGTCAGGGACCCGGGTGGCGGCGATTTCCAGGCCGAAGGGTCTGTCCGGTGGTCGCTTTGGTGGTTCCTTTGCGGGGGCGTTTTCCGAAGCGGCGCCACAAACACGCGTTGCACACAGACACACCCGCACACAGCCCGGCTGGATCGGGGAAGGCAGATCCCGTGGACGGTTTTCCTGCCGACTGGATCGGGGGAAACCGGGGGGGGGGGACGTTTGGTCAAATCATCTCCAGGCGTCGTGATCCAAAATTTCCGCTGGAGATTTGAAGCTTCGGTTTTTCTCCCTCCTCCTTTGGCATCTGAAAAACCGCTTTTTTTGGTCGCTGTCCGTCCTTTGGCTGGGCTGCGGAGCCCGGGGGGAGGAGGACCCCATTAAGACACACACACACACACACACACACACCCGCTCCAGGCTTCAGACGCTCCTGGGGAGGGGTCTTCGGGACCCGGGAGAAAAGGCAAGCGGGGGTCCGGAGCCGCCAGGGCTCCTTTCCCCGAAGCGCTTCCTCGGCCGGCCTTAGGAACAGCGATCCGTCTAGCTCCGGGAGCCCAAGGCCTGAGGGCGGGGATGATGGGGGCGGTGGTGCAAAGCCGTCGGCAGGTGACAGCTTGGGAAGGGACGCTCCGTTGAGCCCTCGGGCGTCTCTGCCGGTGTCAGCTGCTTCCAGGCCCCCCTTCCCCGCCAACGCTGCCGCCGCCGTTTCTAGCCAGATGTTGAAGCCCGGAGCCAGCCTCCCCCCCCCCCCCCCGGCCCCCCCCACAGCCCGACCCCCCCCCCCCCCCCGCCCCCCCCCCCCCCCCCCGGCTTTCGGCGGGCCCCCCCCCCCCCCCGACTGGCCAACCCTGCAGGGCCGTCGGGGCCTCAGCAGACGCCCCCGAAGGGCTCCCGAGAAGGCTGCGGGGCCAACTTCCTTCCGCGCCCCCGTCCCTGCCTTCCTGGGCTGGGGAGGGGGCAACGGCGCCCCCCCCCCCCCGCGCCCCGCCTGCCCCCCCCGCGGGGCGTCCGGGGGGGGGGCCCCCCAGGGGGGGGGGGGGGGGGGTCCCGGGGGTGGGGGAGGGGCCGTGGGGGAGGGGGCGGAGCCGCGCGCCCCGATTGGAGCAGGGCTGCCAGGGCTCGGCGCTGAGTTGCGAGGCTCGGCTCGGCTCGGCTCGGCCGCCGCGGCTTTGTTCCGGAGCCTTTCCCCGCCGCGGGCGGGCTGGCTGGCTGGCCCCCTGCCCGCCCCTCCCGCCCGCCCTGCCCGGAGCCCGCCGGAGCCTCGGCCGCCACTTGCCCGGAGCGCTCCGGGAAGGTCGGCAGCTCCGACGCCAGGAGGGGAGGCTTTCCCCGCACAGGGGGGGCTGGCGGCCCGCTGCCCCCTGCAGCCCCGTCCGGACCGGACAGCCCCGCGGGGGACGGGCGGGGTCTTCCTCCCCAGAGACCAGCGGAGCCCCCCGGTAAGAGACCGCGCCGGGCGTCGCGGCTGCGCTTGGTGCCTGGCGGGGGCGGCCAGTGCTGGAGGGAGGGGGGTCTTCGCCGTCCCCCCCTCCCCTCCTCTCCGTCCCCAGCCCGGCTCCCCCTCGCATCTCTCGCCTGCGCCCCCTCCGGAGCTCCCGCAAGCGCCGCCGGCTCTTCTTCCGTGCCAGGCGCCCCCCCTCCGAAGCCCCTCTTGGCCACCCCCCCGGGGGGAGAGTCCGTTGGCGTCCCGACCCCCTTGGAAGTGGCGCCGTGGCCCCGGGGAAGCGAGCCTCATTGCGGGGAGCGAAAGGAGCATCGCTTCGGCGCCTCCTTCTCCAACCGGGCGCCCCTCGCAGGCGCGGAGTTGCAACGCCCAGCATCCTCGGGGCGGGGGGGGGGGGGGGCAGAACGGGGCTAACTGAGCTGCGGGGGGGGTGGTGGCCCGCCCCCTCCCGCCGTTTGAAGGGAGCCGAGTTCGCTCTTTCGCTCCTTGGCATTCTGCAACGCTGGGGGGGCGGGTGTCGCCTCGGGAGGGGCTCGCTCTCTGCAAAGAGGGGCCTTTGGAAAAGCATTTCCCCCCTTTCCTTCCAGCCCCCTCCCCCATTCGATCAAATGATCACCCCCACCCCCCACAAAGTCAACCCCTCTGCGGTTTGAAATTAAATCCTTCCCAAAAAAAGGGGGGGGGATAAAAAGTCCAAACTTTAAAAGCCCGCAAGGACAGGAGAGGAAAAACAAACTCTCGCCCACCGATAAACAAAGCAGGGTTGATGCTTTGAATCCGGGCCAAGCCTTTTCCCTTTTTTTTTAAGTGGGGAGGGGGGATTCAGTGTGGAAACTGAAGCAGGAGGCACAAGGGGCTGGTGTGTGTTTGAGGGGGGCAGGGAGACCCCTCTGTTGCTTAGGGGGCTCTGCTGGGTGGGAAAGGCCCCCCTGGGAGTGTTGACGTGCCTTTTGCAAAACCACTGAAAAGAAAAAAAAGAAAGAAAGAAAGATCCTCCAACTGTCTTTGGCTTTGCCAATAATGGAGCCCAGCCCTGCGCCAACAGCTGGAATATAGTAACCCAGCTTGGACTGGAAAGGAACAGCGGGGAAGAGGGAGGCTCAGCTGGCTGCTTAGATTAGCCAAATCCTGTTAATATTCCTCTTTTGACTCCTGATCCACGTTGCAAGGAGAAAGCTGCCTTAAGTGGGTTTTGTTATCCCCCCCCCCCCCAGAGAAGGCCTCTGCCCTGTCTGGATAACCTCTGGGTCCCTGTTTTCCCCCCACCCCCTTTAACTTTTCCCCTCTGGTGGAAATAAATTAAGGAATCTTGAGAAAGTTAGCAAGGCCCAACCTGGAACTAGGTTAATGCAGAGATTTGGAGGAGGATCAAGAAAGCAGATTCCAAGGAGCAGTGAAAGGTTTGCAGAATAATAAGCCAAATTTAAACAAAACAGCTCAAGGTTTGTGCAGCCTTTGTGTTTGGAGGGCAGTTGTTTGTTTGCTTCACACCAAAGCTTCCACCGACCATTTTTTTTCTCCTACCATAGCTGGGTCTTTGGCCTGGCCAGAGGGAATTATTTTTGGCTGTGTTGCTGTACTTTTTGGAAAGTTTGCAGGGTTTTGGTTTTTTTTTTTTTTGAACCGGTTAAGGCCAGGAGATTATGGAACTGCTGGGGGGGGGGTTTTCCGTTTCCAAGTGGCACAGTGTTCTAAAAGCGCTACCTCTGAGCATGGACAGAGTGCGCTTCGTCCCTGTTATTTGTGGCTAAACATTCTGCTTAATTTTGCCTCCGGAAGGTTGGTTTATTGTTCTTCCTTGCTTGGGGATAATCTGTGATTTTTCAGCTTCTTTTCCGTATCTCCCGTGATTCGTAATGAAGGCCTATTTTGCAAAGTTGTCGTAAGCGGAATAGGGGGGTGGGGTGGGTGGGGGGCTTGTTGTGGACCAAACTTGAGATGGTCCAAAAATAATTGCACGTGGGTATCTCTCATCATAAGTCAAGGACCTTCGCTTGGTCTTCTTATCACATAGCTGTGGCCATGGTTTTCCCTGGGTGGGTGGGGGGCCAAGCACACCTCCATCCCGGCTCCCTCCCCTGCCAGGGTGGCCGGGCGAAGTGCTAACTGGAGCTGCAACACCACAAAAATTCTCTGCCTCCCCCCCCCCCCCCAAAAAAGCTGAAAACAAAACAGAGGAAAGTTTTGCAAAAACAAAACTTTGTGTCCTGCGTATAGAAAAATTGGCAGAGGAAATGGTCTGGAAAGATTCCCCCCCCCCCTTGCTGGAGGTTGTGCCCCTCCACAATTGCACACTCAGCAAACGTGGGGTGGGTTGAACTCTTTCAAAGGTTATGTGAGGAAGCTGCTTGGGGAAAAAACCGGGGGGGGGGTCATAGGGGGGGAGGGGGGTCTTTCCATCAGCAGGTTTCAAACCAACCCTGTTGTTGAGCCATGCTGCACACTGACGCTACGGTGAATTGGCCAAATCCTGATTCCGACAGTTCAAACGTGGATGGCCTTCCAGGTTGGTCCCAAGAAGGCGTCTTGCTTTGCTGGCATGGAAAAGCACTCTGCTCATGCTCAGGGACCCTCCATTCTTAAGTGTGGCGGGAGAGCAGCTGCAGCTGGCCTTTGCTCGCCGAGGCCTCAGACTCTCTCTCGTCCTTTTGCTGTCTGGTTGTTGTCGCCTTGAAAGAAAAAAAAAGAGAGAGTGGGTGGCTATTGCTGATAAGCCATCATTTCCAGAGTAACGATCCTGGCTTAATATTAGCTGAGCCGCTTGCTAGAATTTGGAGGTGGGGAAACGGCCAGTGTTTCTGGGAAGAGGCCAAGTTGGGCCCCTTGCGAAGCCACGAGTAAACAAACCACACCAGGAATTCACTCCCAGGCGGGGAGAATCGGCCTGGCACTAACCCAGATACGGCTTCCTTGCTGGGGGCTGAGTGTGCAACACGGAGCAGATTGTGGCAATGTTGCCGTCACTGGTCCTACGGCCTTTCGCAACGTGTACTCCACAAAGTTTGTTTAAGCCTAGGGCAGACATGACAGACCATACTACGGATCATCATGGTTTGTCCAGTGCTGAGAACAAGCCATGGTTTAGCCTGATGTGCAGAAGCCTGTTGTTAGGCAAGGGTTGTATTGTGCAATTCCTGTATTTTCCAGGTTGATTCTCTGAGTTGGCACCACTCCACTCACTTAAGGGGGGCTTGGACATTGGCATCCCGTGCAGGGCAGGTCCAATTTCTGGCTGAGGATGGCACTGGAGAGTCCTTCAGCCCTCCAGGGGCGCTCTGCAATTGGGCAGGGGTCTCACCCGGTAGCCAAGGAGAGGTAACCCATGCGGGTCTCACCAAGCAGCCAAGGAAAGGGAAATGGGGGGGGGTCTCACCCGGCAGCCGTGAAAACCGGCAGAAGGTGCCTAGCTGAGCCTTGCCAGCCTCCCTTCCAGCTGCCCCATTTGCAAATGAAGGATGATTTCTGCACCGTTAATTGCTAATCAAGCCAGACGCTTCTCCCACCAGGAAGCGGGCAGGGGGCCGAGAGGGGGCTCAGCTTTCTGCCGGCTTGAGGGAGGGGTCTCCCTCTTCTTCAGACCCCCCTCCCGAACCGGAATCCACCGGATGCCTTCCAGAATAAAGGACGGGGGGACCAGTCCAGCTTTGCTTTCGGTCTCCCATTCTATTTGGGGAGGGGGCTTTATTCTGGCTGGGAGGATTGAAACAGGATGAGCAGGAATTGGGCCCCAGAGGAAAGGGGGCGGGGCAAAGTGCCTGGCCGGGGTGGGGGGGTGGGGGGGGCGGGGCAGAGAGGACTGGCTCCTTCCTGGCCAGCAGCATCCTGTTTCTTGGAAATCATTTCTGGATTATTTCCTTAATTCTTGTTTTAACCGCCAATTTTCTCCAGCCATCCAGGGCTCTCCAAGGACCCACAAAAATAGCAAACATCTCATTAGGGAAAAGAGGCTTTAAGAGATTTCTCTGCCCCCCCCCCCCCCCCCCCCTCCCCCTCTCCGGCCCTCAGGAAGCTTCCGGGCTGGGGGGGGGGGGTGTAATTTCCAGTTTGTCTTGTGTCGAGTCCGCTGTGGACAAAAAAAAACAAAACAGCATAAAAACTCAAATTTTTCTTTGCCCAGAAATCCAAATTGGGGAGGGGTGTCAGTGCCTCGACTCGTCACTTTTGGCTCTCATTGGGCCTGGCTGGGGGGCAGTGGGGGGGGAGCGTCCCAAGCATCTGGAGGAGAAAAGGCTAGGGAAAGGAGGCCACACGGTGATCACCAGGTGTGAGGGAATTCATCGTTGAGAGATTCAGGGCCCTTTTAATGTTGCTTTTCCCCAAAGAAAAGCACACAATCCTTCCTACCTCTTGATCTTCACAAGAGCCGTGCGAGGTAGACCAGGCTGGCTAAGATCAAGGGTGTGGCACTCTGATTCCCTTGAAGGTCGGATGTTTGAGGACCCTCAAGGAGTCGCCCCCCCGCCCCGCCCCCCCCCCGCCCCACCAAATCCGACATTCTGGCTCCGGTGATCATCCAGAAGAGACTGGGGGTCTTTCAGATGCCCTCAAAGCAGCCCCTCCCTCTCTGGGCTGTAATCCCCCCCTCCACAGCTGAGAATCGGGGGTCCATTGGGAAAGGGGCGTCTCCAGTCCAACAAGCGGCCTTGCGTGTGAGTCCTCCAGCTACGCCGTTCCCACACTCTGCTGGCACGTCGGATGTCAAGCCTCGGGTGCGAAGCTTCCCAGAGAGACCGTCACAGGGATGGCGGTTCCCAGAATGGGCCTTCTGCAGCTGGGCCAAGGGAGGCCTGGGGTCATTGCAGCTGTGGGTGGAAGGGCGGCCGGGCGGTCACTGCCACCAAAACGCTGCTCTTCCCACGGCTCCAGGGGGCAGCTTGACCCCCTGGGATTTGCAGAGCTCTGGCAGTTTCCCCGAACGGCTGTGGCTGACGCTGGCCGGCCCTTCGCTCAAGCCCAGCGTCCATATGCAAATGGGCTGCGTGGCTAGCAGACATA